TCCTGGCATCCCTATGTGGCACTGGGTTTGACTCAGCGCCAAAGGCAAGTCAGCCCCAACACCACGTGTGCGTGCGGGTCTGACTCAGCACACAGGTAAGGCAGCCCAAACACTAAGTGTCCCCATGTAAGGCATGAGCTTGGCCAGGTGCCAACATCTCACTACCTGCAACCCCAGGTTTAACTCAGCGCCAAAGGCAAGTAAGCCCCAACACCACGTGTGTGTGTGCGGGTCTAACCCAGCGCACAGGTAAGGTAGCCTAAACGCTAAGTGTCCCCATGTGAGGCATGAGCTTGGCTGATGCCCAGGGCAAGTCAGGCTCAACCCCAGCGTCAGGTGCCAACATCTCACTACCTGCAACCCTACCAAAACTTGAGCCAACTATTTTTTCACCAATTATCTTTTCAATGTCAAATGCATTCTAACAAAAAAGACAACCCCACCTCTTCTTCGTCGTCATTGCAACTCTTTGCGCAAATAATTAGTTTGTTATTACACTTCTCCAATTCATAGTGTTTTATTTCTAGGTAAATAATAATAGAAACACTAAGTCATTTTAGTATATTGTATAATACCAATAATCTATTATTTTCTAATAATATTACATATTTTAAAATATTTTTATTAATACATTAATATCTGTATATATTAAAATGAAATAATTTTCACTATGATTCTCGTGTAATTCATTAAAAGTGATATTTTTTTTTCATTTTAAATGAAAAAACACTTTCACCATCTTTTTTTTATAAAAAGTGTTTTTTCCTAGTTGTTGCACGAGAAAATCTGGAAAATGTTTTTCTCTGACAACCAACAAGGCGTTAATTTACGCCCAGAAAAGTGTTTTTTCCTGGTTATTGCAGTCATACACGAGAAAATCTGGAAAATGTTTTTCTCCGACAACCAACAAGGCGTTAATTTACGCCCAGAATTTTGTTTATTTTTAATCAACACCTTTAATTTTCTCAAATTGTCAATTAACTCCTTCTGCGATTTATCTACTCTCCAATAAAGATTAAGGAAATTACGAAACCTGACACTATTTTTTCAAACACCACTGGCCGTCTGTCTGTTACGAGTACTCCCTCCCATAAAACAAAGCATTTTAGGGTTTTTCTCCAATGGCATCGCACAATCACCTCGACGTCGATGTAAGTTCTCCTTCAATCTTACCTCTCACATAATTTCAACGTGTAAGACATGAATGCGTACGTACCTGTGTTAGGGTTTCTTTGACAATTTGATTCCGCACCGAATTCCAGGATGATGATTTTGGCGGTGATTTTCCCGGGAGCCACAATAGCAGACGTTCTGGTTTTTACTTGGTTAACTCCTTCTTTATTATCATCACCATTACATTCACGAAACAGCAATTCTTAATAATTTGTTTAATTAATTAGGCAACAAGAGAAGCTTTGGAGATCTCGAGGATGACGAAGATGATATTTTTAGCTCCAAAAAGGTACTCTCTCTTTTCACACACACACACATACTGGTATCAGTTACGAATTTTTCACACACACATACTGGTATCAGTTACGAATTATGAAGTAGAACTTTTCTTTTTTTCCGTAGGTCGTAGGAGTTGCTGAAGTCTGTAAGTCTTAAACAAAATCTTGTTTGTTTTCATTGCAGGGTAATTCCAAGGTAGAAGAAGGAATGAAAATCTTGTTTGTTGTCATTGCAGGGTAATTCCAAGGTAGAAGAAACTGCAATGATTTTGTCGCTTCGTGAGAGGTAAAGTAAGACGTAAATAGAGCAACTTATGTAAAAAGAGAAGACTGATGATGTTTATTGCGCGGTTATATTATTTTACAGTCTCATCTTCTCTTTCTGTTTTCTTTTGCAGTCTTGAAACTTGTAAAAGTTCACTCGCAACATGCCAGGCATGTATCGTCCATCCCATTGTTTCTTATATGAATTATTGATTAGTAGAACTGTTCTTATAGTTTACTGCTTCGCTTATGAACTGTACTTTTGAGGAGGAGACATTTTCGTTGTTGACAAAAGTTCAATTGGATGGCTGTCCATAAGGAAACATGAACAAGAAGAGTAGGAAGATTGTGAAGGAATAGAGTAAGACAGAGGAATGGAAAACTTGGTTTCTAAGTTGATAGCATAATTTTCATGGAACAGATGGTCCTTTCATTAATATCTTAGACCCATGTTGTTCTTAATTAAATAAGGAAAATATAACATAAATTCTTATGGATAAAGCTTATAACTGATCTCTAACAATGCAAATAATGTAAATTGGTTATCTGGTGGGAGCACAGGCCTAGAATTTCAGGGTAGAAGTCTTTCTTTTCACATGCTTTGGATAAAGTATTTTTACAGCTTCATTATGATCACAGCTCTTCCTCTGAAATTTTTATTGATGGGTTCCCTTTATATTTGAGATGTTTTGAATACATAAGAATATCTGTTTGTATATTTATTATAGGTTGAGGCTACTTGAACTGATTATGTTAAGTTTTACAATGGCACTAAATCTGCATGTGACTTCTTAAATATTGTAGCATTCTGTACACAGTGTGGATGTTTTTTCATCAGATCCACTAATTGAGTTGTAATAATGCTGGTTCCAGACAGAGCTTGAAGCTGCAAAATCTGAAATTCAGAAGTGGCGTTCTGCATTTGAGAATGAGTCCTCCATGCCTGCTGGGGCATCTCTTGGTTAGCCTGTTATTAGAGTGTTTTACGTTGTGTTGTAATGTGACATGTGATGCTAGAACTAGTTCTGTTTGTGAACATCCTAAAAGCTGTTCCTTTTCTCAAAAATTACTTTCTATTATTTGTTGCAGAACCTAAACTAGTGATCAACTATCTTCAGACCCTGAAATCTTCTGAGGAGTTATTGAGAGAGCAGGTTAAGTGATTATATTAGACTGTTGGTTTCTTTAGCTTCTTTGGTGATTACCATACATGCAGGATTTCATCCATGTTTTCTTGTTATTATCAGTTAGAAAAGGCTAAGAAGAAGGAAGCTGCCTTTATTGTAACTTTTGCAAAACGGGAGCAGGAGATAGCAGAGCTAAAGGTGAGTCCCTCTCTTACAGTTTACAGTTGAGGATGGAGAGGGCCTTTCACTTCTCTTCATTTTTTTTGTGCATACATTGAATGCTGGATCACATAATCACTGAAGGTGAGTCCCTCTCTCACAGTTTACAGTTGAGGATGGAGAGGGTCTTTCACTTCTCTTCATTTTTTTTCTGTATACATTGAATGCTGGATCACATAATCACTGCAACTGCTTGGAGCAATATCTATTAGACATATTGGAGGACTGATGTTTCTAGGAAGGCATATCCTCAAATTGGCTTAGATGAAAAGAGCTCAAGATTGTGTTTTTTCTGGAAACCAAAATTCCTGGTCACATGGAATTTGAAATGGCTTCCCATGGTTTACCTGAACATGTACATAAATGTAGACATGAGGAAATTTTGGGAGGAGAATGAAATAACCACATAATGTGGTTTTTGTAGTTGACTGCAGTGCTATCATTTGTGTACCCTGAATCTTACTTGAGGGAAGTTTAGTGCACCCTGATTGACTATATTGATTGGTGTCATATAATTGTCTAACGGCAAATTCGCTTTAAATTTGCAGTCTGCAGTCCGGGATCTGAAAGCTCAACTCAAGCCACCATCAATGCAGGTATCAACAAGTGCTTAAATTATGTCTTAAGGAATATGTGCCATCTTGGCATGCCTTGTTTATGAGGTTGTAAAAATAGATATCAATTTAGCATGAAGAAAACTCTCTACGTCAGGGTGGGTTTTAAACAAGGATCTTATGTTTGCTGCTGTTCTTCCCTTCAATCTGATTTTTTTTCCCCATACTTATATGCTGAATTCTTTAAAGGCTATAAAGTTCTTATTGTTTCTAACAACATTCTGTCCTATACATTAAATGCCCTTCTTTTCAAGTTCCAGATGAATTATTGTTACTGTTTCCCTTGAGTTTCAAAGTGAAGCTGCATATTTGTGCTCTTATCTGATTTTAGGAAATTTGTATGACTTAGAATTTACATGGCCTGGTTGTAGAGTGTGTGATTGTTTCCCATTCTCTCTGACTATTGTTTATTGTTTGTTTCCCTTTTTTTCTCCTTTTCTTTTTGGCGATCAACCTGGTAGGCAAGGAGGTTACTGCTGGATCCAGCAATTCATGAGGAATTTACACGTTTGAAGGTTTGTGCTTAAACATTTTAGTGAAAGTAAAATTTAGCTCAAGTTGATGCATTACATGCACATACTGTTACCTTCTAATCTGATTGGATTATCGTATTTTGAGACACATTGATTAACAGAGGTATCAACTCAATTGTCCTTGTTAAAAATAGGATAAATCACATGCCATGAGTTCATAAAGGTAAAATAATACATTAAATACTGGTTAACTTTTCAGGTAAGGTCCTGTTAATTTTAATTTGGTCTGGGTGATCTGGGCTTCTGCATATTGAGAATTCCTTGCATTGAAGACTTCAGACTTGATACCATAAGTTGTTTGTGCAACTTCGTGCGTGATTATAAATGTTTGTTTGATGTTCTTAGATGATGGGTTTATGGTGGTTTCCTTAAATGCTCTAACAGAATTTGGTTGAGGAGAAGGACAAGAAGGTGAAGGAATTGCAGGATAATATTGCTGCTATGAATTTTACTCCACAAAGCAAGATGGGCAAGATGCTGATGGCAAAGTGTAGGACACTGCAAGAGGAAAATGAGGAGATTGGGAATCAAGCTGCAGAAGGAAAGGTAATGCTCTTGTTTTTTCTTTATTTTGCTTGTTTTTTTGCCCCCTCTGCTTGTGTACATTTCGTTCTTGCTCCCAGTTTGGTGTTCGATTCTTTTTGGAAGGGAAGTGCTTTTCATGCTTGATGGTTATGATTTTCCTACTGCTAGAAAATTATAAATTGTACCTTTCTTTTCTCTATGTTTGGTTTGTGGAAATGCAAGGGGTTTTTTCTTTTGGGGAGATTGGGGGGAATGATGTAAAAGCTTTAGCAATATCCATCTGAATGTTTGAATTTTGTTTTTGAACATGATGAAATGGATATGAAACTCATTGGCTGCTGAATATGACTAATAAATTGATTGTGTTCTTTACAAGAGACTCAAGAAATAAAAAATGTTGACATGATATTTAGATGTACTTGGAAAAGATTTTTGATGCCCTCTGTATGATATCAGTCAAAAAGTACAGCTCCTATGTTTCTGGAACTTGTTTATTTGTCATCTTCTAGATTTTGCTAAAGCTTTGTTCCAAAAATGGTTGTTGGTTGCAGATACATGAACTAGCAATGAAACTTGCTTTGCAGAAATCGCAGAATGCAGAGCTTAGAAATCAATTTGAAGGTTTGTTATATTTTAATGCAATTGCCCCCTTTCTTTTCAATGCAGGTTGTGGTTTTTATGTCTTTTGTTATATGCACTTGTAGGTTGTCATTGCTGCTTATAACATGTCTTGCTCACATTTCATGTTTTTTGGGCTAATTGCACTTGAATGATGAACGATTGGCTTTTTGATGGGACACTGATTTATGCTCCTTTTCTTTTGTTAGCTGGTTAAGTAACATATGTGCCATTTGACAGTAGTTTCTGTTGAGTCAAGGGTTCTCTGTCTCCTTGAATAAATTTTACCAGCTATTCTGTTTCCAATGCCCTTGCTGATGCCTTTTTCATATCATCCATGAATGCTATAATTGATGGAGTTCTCTCCTATTTGTCAACTTAATGATCACTTTTCTGTTTTTTCTCATTGATTTTACCATGTGTGCTGGTAGAAATTATGGTCGGTACGGCCATGATTAATGGGATTCCAAAACTTAGTTGATGGTTTTCTACTACAAATTTTCACTATGCCAGAACTGATCTTTAGTTATGTTAAAATTATATTCAAAGTCTTGGGAGATTTTTTAGCTACAACCCTTGATCCATTAAAAAATTGGCACTTTTGATTTTACTTTTTTTTTTTTTCTGTTTTTCTATTGAGCTGGATAAAAGCAGAGAAGTTGTAGCCATATCATAATATCTAAGTTGATCCATTAAAAACTTGGCACTTTTGATTTTAAATTTTTTTTTGTTTTTCTATTGAGCTGGATAAAAGCGGAGAAGTTGTAGCCATATCATAATATCTAAAAAAGGATATAAAAAATAATGGTATAGAATCTTTTGAGGCAAAGAAGCATTGTGAGCAAACCAGGCTCCTGATTTTTTTGCAGAATTTCTTTATTTTTTTAGATGTGATGATATGGGTTATCCATTACTTAGCAGCAAAAGAATCTGTTCCAATTAACATTTGGCCATTCTTTTAATGGATAAGGATTCTCACCTAAAAAAATGTTCAAGACTTATGATATCATATTGTAATTTAATTGAAGGCCATTGTTTACTTTGTCAAAGTGATAAACCAAAATTTTAAATCCTTATAATCATGGAAGTAAGAACTTCCAACTATTCTTTCTAAGGTGTGAAGGCACATCTTAGAAATAAGGTGTGAAGACACATCTTAGAAAACTCCTTTTGCCATTTAATAGAACTTTTGATAAATCCTTTGCCATTTTGGCTGTTTTGAGAACCTTATCCTAGTAGAAGCGGGCATTTGAATGTTGGCTAGTTACCTTCTGAACAGAGGGTTTTGTTTCTCCCAAGCAAATTGGTAGTTTTATTAGAAGAGCAAGGATTTCTTAAGACTTCATTCTTTTGCTAATCCTTGCACTGATAGCATGAAAAACTAAAGCTTTGTGTATAAATGTCCATTCCCTAGACTATTTATTTCACCCCGTTTATTAATCAAATAAAAGCTCCCATCTTGCTTCAGCAGCAAGTTTGCCCTTTGTTGTGCTTGAACAGTCATTTGCCATTTTAGACTGTAGTTATTACTATGGTTATTGTTTTGCTCGAATTTGTTTCTATGATAGTCACAAAAAATGCATCTAGATTTATGGTTTCTTTACCAGTTTATTGAAATTAATCACTTAACTGGATGGTAGCTTTGTCATGCTTTTTGGTTGATGAAAGGAAACTACCTAGACTCTAAAGATTACACTTTACCCGTTGAACTTTAATATTGTTTGCCTTTTACATTGAAATGACAAATGGTTATACCTTGTATGTATATCATTGGTCCTTACCATTTTGATTTTCTTGCACTGCTCATACAGGACTGTACGAACACATGGAGGGCCTGACAAATGATGTAGAGAAATCAAATGAAACGGTTATTATCTCAAACCTTTTCTTTTATTACTTGAAGTTACAGGCAGACACTGTAATTTAAGGTCTTAATAATTTAATCACCAAAACATGTTCACAATTGATTTCTTCAAGTATCTACTTTTTAGCAAAATCCTCATGTATATATTATTTATTATTCCGATGATGTTTGCAATAAAATATATTGAATGGAATTTAAACTGTTTCAGACAATGCTTGTATAAAGTAAATATAAACATTCTAATTTCTCTACTCTAATGATGATACCCATTATTGATATTAAATGAGGAATGTCTAGATTTTCTTTAAACTGTGGATGTACCACAACAATGAACTTCATAATTTTGATTCTCAATTGTTTCATCTGCGATCTTGTTGGCAAATCATGTTGGGAGAGACAGTTATTGTGGACGAGATATATCTCATGTCTTCGGCTATTTTTGACAATAGTTGTCCCATATTAGACACCGACTCCAGTTTTAGTTCTCAGTGGCTAACACGTATTCTGGGTTGGTTGAAATATTTTTTAATCACAGATCTGTATCAGTATATGTTCTTCTGCTATCATGCAAAATGAACCACTATGAATTATATCATGTGAATGAAATATAGAATAACTGTATAAATCTGTAAATTAGCATCCAGTTTGTGTTCCTTTTGCGGATTATGTTTAAACAGAAGGATACATTCTTGTCTTCCATTGTAGGTACTTCTGTTGCAAGAAAAGCTAGAGGAGAAGGATCAGGAGCTTAAAAAGCTGAAGCTTCAACTACAGCAGAAGACATTAGTGGAGGAAAAGCCTGATCCGTGTCCAAATAAAACAGTAAGCGCTGATGAATTTAAGAAGGAAGCTGAGGTCAACTAGACTGGACAATTTGTAGAATATATCATTTTCATTCTCCATGGTTGTGCCCTGTACATTATAATATATTTTTTAACTATTCTTTTCAAATATTTCATTATTATGTTGGGAGGGTTTTGTGGTCTGCGTAGGGCAATGGAAGGTTTTCCTGTGTCCGGTGACCTGAAGTTCCTGGATGCCTAAATTTGCCCATGCATTTTTTTTATTTGATGGGAAAGTATTGCCAGGACCGCTGGGTGAGCTCTGGTGTGGCTAGATGGCAGATGAGAATTTAGCTCATGATTCGTGGGACTAATGCGTGGATTGGAAAGTGGAAACTAGGTTTCGCAAAGCAGGTCCAAACTTTTTGGGTTGTTAAAATAGACCAGCATCACAGCAAATAACTTTCAACTTACTAGAATGTCATTTATGTCAGTGGCCGTGGTTTGCCTTAACTTAGGAATGGGTTGGTTACCTTCTTTTTTAAAAAAAAAAAATTTAGAAAAACCTATGAACAAAAAAAAAAAAAAGGTCCAAACACATGGGTTAAAAGATAACCCAACCCCGGTGATTAATAATACTATGGTTTGTATTTTTTTTAAAAAAATAGATGATTTTTTTAAATAAAATATTAAGAACGTGAGTTAATTGTTATGTTATAAAATTATGTTAATTCTATAAAAAAAAAATATATATATATATTAAGATGTTATTTTGAAATATATTATGAATGCTAATTTAAAATAATTTAAACTTTAAAATATCAATGTAAAATAAATCAAATTTTATAGGATAAATTGAAAAAAAAATAAAAAAGTTATTAAAAACCTAACAATGAGTCTTTTTAAAAAGATAAAAAAAAATTATATATATATATATTATTGTTAATTTGGTTTTACACATATATATTAGGTTGTCTATTTTGTTATTACTATTTTTTTAGAAAAACTAAAAATACATTCTAATTAGAAATGACAATATCTAATAAAATAAAATGAAGAAAAATTCTTTTAGAACTCTGTCCTTCAATACTCTCAATTTTTTTAAATTGATATTTTTTTATTTCAATGAACTAAAAATTCTTTTAAACTGAAAATACATATTAAGGATGATTTCAAGCTTTGCATTATTCTTGCCCGTTATAAATTATAATTATATTATAATTATAAACTAACTAAATGTCTTTTTCTAGGTGTTTCATTGTTCCTATAAATAGTGAAGTATATGGCTTTGTTTTTTATTTTTAACTTTATTTTTTTTCACAACCTAATTAAATGAAATTAAATTTAAAATTATAGTAAACATACCATACCGAATTATAAACAGGATTGACAAGAAAAATAAGAAGAAAAGGCATGGTCAATCCTAAATTTGTGACAATTTATATTTTAATAAAGTTTATTTTATTTATTTATTAATTCATGAGTTTGATAAACACAAGAGAAACTCATTAAAAAATAGAAAAATAGAAAAAGTTGATGGTTGTTATAATTTTGACAATCAAATTGAATAAGTTTGGTGTCAAAAAATTTCATTCAACAAGAAAAGTTTAATAATAGTTGTTTTTTACCTTCATTTTACTTAAAAAGGTAGATTGGGCTCGAGAAAGAATTTTTTTTTTTATTTTGATTGTGTTTTTTAACTAATTTATAGATATTTTGAGTTGAAAATTTTGTTTATTGAGATTTCTACAGTGTTTTATGTCAAAATAGGTTAAAAATAAGATTTTGAACCTTAAAATATCTCTACCTAATTTTCCAGTTATTTCTAAGTGATTAGAATATGGGTTGACAAACAACACATAGTTTGCATTATTATTTTTTTAAATGGACTACATGTTATTCGATTCTTATTTCATAAAAATATAAGTTAGGGCACGTGAGCTTTATGTTACAAGTAACCCTGCTTAGACTTATTTAGTTGGTCAAACATTCAGCCCTGACGTACTAGGGCTAGAAATGCTTGGCTTCTCTTTTCATTTTTTATTTTTTTTGGCAAAAAAAATTAATCAATACTCTCCTCTTGTATATACTTTTTAGTTTATATTATTATTTTTTATTTCAATTTAAAGTAATACTATCTCTATCTAATTTCTCAAATTTTTTTGTTCCCTTTTTAAAAATAATAGTTATTTTTTTACTAATTTTATATTTTTATAATATCTCAAAGAGATTATTTTTTTCATTTATATTTGATATAAATAAATTTTATTGATATGGTGTGTTAAAAAAACATCATTTGTTCTGGATGACAAAAGATAACCTTAGATTTTACAGATGATAGCAGATAAAAAAATCTAACAAATGTATATCACAGATCAAGATTTTTGAAACCCACTTAATCTAATCCAAATCGTATAACTTAGTGTAAATAACCCAAGTTCTTAGTGTAAATAATATTTTTCCTTCTCTCTCTTTATTTATTTTTCCTTTCTCGCCTTCACACCCATGATCACCTCTCACTCCTTTAACCTCTTTCCCTTTTCCCTATTTTTTATTTTTTAAAAAATTATAATTGTTTTTTTTTTTAAGTTTGATTTGATGAAATAACAATATATTTTACACTTCCAATTTTTTTTTATGTGGTAACCAAGAAACAATGAGAAAAAACAAAAGAAAACTTCAAAAATTCATATTGAACTTTTATTTTCTTAGGTAAATTACAAACCTAAAAGAACTTTATATTCTCTTTCTCATAGTCTGTCTTTGTATCATGTTGCACCCTATTTGTTTGATAAAATATTTAATTATGATTTTTATTATTTTTATGATTCGTGATATATATTTATTAGGTTTTTTTATTTGCTATCATCCGTAAAATCTAACCTAACTCGTATAACTTAGTGTAAGTAACTCAGGTTTTTGGTGTAAATAATATTTTTCTTTCTCTCTCTTTATTTGTTTGACCTCTCTCGCCTTCACACTCATGATCACCTCTCACTCTCTTAATCTCTTTCCCTTTTCTCTATTTTCTATTTTCATAAAAATTATAGTTGTTGTTTTTTTAAGTTTGATTTGATGAAAGAATAATATATTTTACACTTTCAATATTTTTTTGGTGGTAACCAAGAAACAATGAGAAAAAACAAAAGAAAACTTCAAAAATTCATATTGAACTTTTATTTTTTTAGTCAAATTACAAACCCAAAAAAACTTTATAATCTCTTCCACATAGTCTGTCTTTGTATCATGTTGCACCTTATTTGTCTGATAAAATATTTAATTGTAATTTTTATTATTTTTATTTTACATGAAAATTATAATAGTTTTTATTTTGTCCTGAATATATACATTTTAAAGGCCTTATCTAGTTTCAACAGTTGCAACTTAATATTTTTTTAGAATCGTTGAAGAATAAAAGAATTAATATACCCCACCAGCAAATATATATAATATCCATAAAAAAAATTAGCTCAATTCAATATATTCAGTCCTTTCTTGTCCAAAATAAAATAGGCCGAGTTTATATTTTATCAAATATCATAAGTTAGGTTGTATACAATTATGAGTTAAAACTCAGTCCATTATATCTACAAATACCCTTATTCTTATTAAGATAAAAAAAAAAGAAAAAAAAAAGAGAAGAAGACATAAATTCAAAAGAAAAATGGGTGTTAAATAATTGCATATTCATCTTAATGTCATTAACAACTCTTTCACAAATTTGTATTTCTCAATAAAATGCATTCATAATATTGATATGATTTCTTACTATATTAAATATCAACTTGAGATTATACCCTCGTAGTCATCGCAGCACATGTTTTAAAACCAGAAAATAACTCATGGGATGGCTACTTTTTCATGGAAAATTGACTGCTTGACCGGGGTTAGGAGGAATTACACGGTATGCTTTGTATTCACACTCCTATATATAATTCAAATAATTATATAGGGTTTGTATGAATTTTTTAGTTACGAGGACTAAATTGTATGTTATCACCTTAAAACAAGGGTTAAAAGCTTCCGAAGAAGGGCCTATTTGTAAATAAAATTAAGATATAGAGATTAAAATGATCTACTGAAACCACACAAAAAAAGCAATGAATCACCCTGCTCCATTGTATCAGCCGGAGTGTGATTCTAATTTCTCTATCATTTCATTTCAAACAATGCCAGTTTGCTTGCTACTACGATCAATTTTTTTAGAAGAGGACACGATGATCTAATTAAAAAATATGTGTTTTTATTTTTCCTTTATTTTTTGCTGGGAATGTCAACTTCCCGGCTTAATTTTTTATTTTTTATTTACCATGTAATATATATATATATATATATATATTAAATAAATTTTATAGAGTGGGGGCTAGATATCGTTTACAATGAAAGCCATGGTGTTTGGAGTATATTAGTCTTTTCAATGAGCTATTGGTCATTAAAAAATTATTAAAAAGTATATTCATCTTTTTTAAAACATTAAACTATAAAACTATTAATTTTCCTCCATGATTAAAAAATATTAGGCATGCGATTAGGGGTATGTTTTTCTTTTCACTTATTATAATACAGTCAAAAGATGTATTTACTCTTAAAATGGACAAGAATAAGGCATGAGTCTAAGGGGTATTATTGTCCTTTCATTTAAGTTTATGTGTAATTTTGACAGGAGGAGTGTTTTGGCATTTTTATATTGGATAACTGACATTTTAATCGAAAAAAATTGTAGGCATATAGGTGGAGTTCACACCCTTTGAGTGGTGCATGAGATGTCATTCAATAGCCAAGCCTGCACTTCCACCATGTCTTCAAAAACGCCATCATTTTCTTTTGTTGTTGGTGTGGTGCAAGCGGCGGATGATAACTAGTTTGCCATTTCCCCCACTTATTTTTTTTTTTTATTTTCTAGAGAGAATATATGTTTTTTTTTTAATTTCAATTTTAATTCTTACATTTTTTTAAATTTCCGCCCTTGGTTTTTTATAAAAAAAATTATGTTCTCAATTTAGTGTTTAAGTTACAATATGTCATATATTATTTTTTACAATACAATTTATATTTTTTTAGTATATAATTTTTTTTTAGTATTTTTGTTAAATTTTTATTAACTTTTAATTTCATCTTTAAATCAAAGTTTATGTTGTTTTATTATGTATAATTTAGCCATCATTCTTTTGATTTTTTTTTATTAAATTTTTTCTTTTAAATTTAACCCTCAAATTGAATTTTTATGCCCTTTAATTTATTTTTTATTTTGATTTTGATTTTG